TTATTATTATTATTATTATTATTATTATTATTATTATTATTATTATTATTATTATTATTATCATTATATTTATCATTATCATTATCATTATTATTATTATCATTATTATTATTGGAAGTGGCTATTCTCATCTGGGGTGAGAATAGAAAAACGATCTACCTCTCACCCCGGGTGAGACTTGCCAGCGTAGGCTATTCTCACCCGGTGCGAAACAAGACCTGCTTTTCCTCATTTTGGAATACTGTCTATCGGTGTGGATGATCAAATTGATAAAAGCCAAGAAAAAACTACGTTATAGCACAAAAGTAAGCTAATTTGATCGTCTCTCAAAGATGCTATGGCTATTTCACTGTTCGAATCGAGCCGAACTACGCGGGTCGCCATTTTGTTTTGCCCGGAAGTTCTCGCAAGATCTACTCCTCCCCTCTCTCTCTCTCTCTCTGTCTGTCTCTTTCTGAATACTGTCTATCGGTGTGGACGATCAAATTGACCAAAACAAAGTTAAAAAATGATATTAAAACACAAAAGTAAATTAATTTGGTTGTCTACAAAGATGCTACGGCTATTTAACTTTTCGAATCGAGCGGGTCGCCATTTTGTTTTGACCGGAAGTTCTCACGCTACTCCTCTCTCTGTCTCTTTCTCTCTCTCTCTCTCCACTGCCCACATACAAAATTGTACGCTTTTAGTAGGCTACAGTTGTAATGGAACGTTTGTTCACGGCACAGAATTCTACAATTTTTCTGTTATCACAGTGTAGAATTCTGTGGTTTAGGGTGAACGCAAAATTTGTTGGCCTAGATCTAGGCTATAACAGTGAACGCGCACCGGGTGAGAATAGCCAAAAGACTAGCCTGCACTATTCTCATCCCGGGTGAGAATAGAGGTGGCCATTATTATTATTATTATTATTATTATTATTCATAAACGTTCATTCATCACGAGCTGATGATGACCTTGATCACGCCAGAAGAAAAAGAAGTTGCAGACCTTACTTGCTTCTGCAGGTGGCTAACATGGTAAAGAGAGGTAAAGGAAATAATGTAATTTTTAAAAAACCCAAATAACTTGTAATGATAAGAAACGCGACGTCACAACCCGCCATAGACGTCAGCGCCTTTGCCTTTCCTTAAAGTAGTTATTGCACGTTTAGTTAAACAAACAGATGTCCGCCCTCTAAGTGATAAGAAAATACGACAGGATGCAATCTTGGTAAAAATGGTTCTTTTATGATCTTCAAAAAACAGCTCCAAAATGGGTGACCCGAGAGTCATTAATTTATTAATTGTCATACGCTGATTCCGAACTCGAAATTCATCAAGATAGGACGTAGTTTTCAATAAGTATATTATTATAAACGTGAACCTCATCACCAGGCGGCAGCAGACAGCCCAGTGGTGGACAGTCTGCCACATTTGCCAATGTTCATGCGCGTTGTTGAACTTATCGAAAACTATGTTTAAAACAATATCAAATTTTAATTCAGAACCAGCGTATCATAGTTTAACAAAATGACACTGGGGTGATTCTTTTTTCTTGGTTGATTTTGAAGATCACCAAAAAGAACTATTTTTTAAATCAAGATTATGTCGTGTATTTTTTTTTACTTATCATAATGTGAACGGATAACTGTGAATTTTAATTGAACATGTAATACTCCCTTTAGTGGTGTAATCTTTTTATCTAAAACAATTGGTTTTGTTGATTGAATTTTTGTCCTGCTTGGCTTGTGACCTTAAAGCATTATTCTTTTTAAACGAATTTTCTACCAACAAAGCTGTTGTGGTCTGTAGGGCCAGTGTCAAGGTCAGGATTTAACAGTTTTGATTATCTTGCCTCTCTGACTGACTGTGCTTTACAAACTTGGTTTTATTTTTCAAAAACCGTGAGACCACATGTCGTGGCTTAGCGCCACTGTGTTCGGTCAATACAAGGGGTGTCCCACTCATCTACGTCACTAAGCAATCTTTCAGAGAAATCGACAGATAGTCTTCTATATTTTTGTTTCTAAAATTGTATTGTTTATTTTTGTTTTCCCTTCCACAAACTAATTCCGAACAAAAAAAATACCCCTGGGGAAGCCGTGTATTTGGTATTCAGGCCAAAGAGGCCGTCCTATCTGAACAGGATTTCCATCACGTGGCAGAACATAATAAGCCTTTTACACGGGGGTTTGACCCTTTCGAAACTTCAGTGTCTGGAATCTTTTGCGTATGAACTAATAAGAGGAAGACCGACAAAAGGGGGCGTTATGAGGTTTGCTTGAGTATGTGCTTTGATCTTCTGTGTATGGAATCTCATTAGTGATGTCCTGGATTCTTGTGTTTGAGGCCTAAGAGGTGCGCTGATCTTTTCCTTTGTATATGAATCACTCGTGGTGATTGATTTCTTTTGTATGGGGCCTTGCAGATTATATGACCTCTAATGTATGGGGCCTTAGGGGTGCATTGATCACTTGTGTACGGACCTTTGGAGGATGTTTGCTTGGCGCTGTGGATATTTACCTTGGTCTCGGTTGACCTAGTAATGTCAAACACATACAAATACATATACAGGCGTTCACGTAATAGCGTCTGGCCCTTCACTGGCGCTTGCGAAAGACCCACATTGGATCCTTTTTTTTTCGGTCCAGTATCTCGGTCTTTCTGCTGAGACGTTGTAATATCCTTCTAAGCCTGGATTGATCCTGTCAGGCAAGATCGAAGTCCACCTCCCTAAATGATCTAAAGTGTGTTGAATGATTACGGGGAGGGGGCGGAGGACTAAAAACACCTATATTTAAAGAACATTTCATAATGAAATTTAGAAAAATCCTAGATAATTAGGAAGACGGAAAGGGAAACCTGTACTGTGGGATTTCAGGTGTCTTATAATCACTTTTTGTTTTTCTTTTGTATTATTTTTCTTTCTAAACTTGAGGTCAACAAATTGGTTACAGTTTTTTCTTGCAACCCCCCCCCCCCCCCCCCCCCACCCCTTAAAAAAAATTATGTGACCTATTACGCATATCTGACCTCAGTGGTCTCCTTTTTCTATGGGGCTTCGCTGTGAGGTCGTGCCAAAAATGTGAAATCTATTCGAGGAACGGGAACTTAAATACACTTTTCTTGCCGACCTCTACAACGGAAAGCTGGAAAGATGGAATAGTAGAGATGTGTTCAGACAAAAGAACCGCGTCCACCCGCTCGTTTAACGGACAGTAGCTGACTGGGGACTTTTTGTTCATTCCACACGACGTACCTGTTCATTTTTGTGCCTGTTTCGAGTGGGATAAATTGAGTGGTCTGTTTTCGTTTGTTTTTTTCTCAGAATTTGACAGGAGTGCGATGTGATCAAGTTTAACCATTTCAACATAAAAATGTTTTTACCTGGCTGCATTTTCTCCACGGCCAAGTGGGGGGTGGGGGGGGGGGGGGGGGCGGGGGGTGCATTAAGCTTTTTATGTTATCTTCTACTAACTTATTTATTGTGTTGATCATTTTTTTAAAAACAGGGTGATCCAAAATAAACTGTACAATATTTTTTTCTAAATATCTCAAACACAATTTGTACTAGAATGTTCCAATTTGGAATAGATATATTTCATTCAAAAGGAATTTGTTTGACTTCAAATTCCCAAAGAAGAAACTTACTTTTGAAAACGGAAAGGGCTTTTATAAAAACCACCTAAATGCTAAATGCACCAATTAAAAAAAAATCTTGTAAGGAAAGTCATGACATGATTGGTTTGATTTTTCCTTTCCTATTATTATAAAAATCTAATCTTTCCATCCCTGTAATCTTTAAACAATATTTCTTATCTAGTACAGAGTTTAAAAAATACTTTTTATATTCTGGAATTCCAAGAACCAATGATCTACATGTCATCCTTTGGACTCCACTCATTTTAATGCGTCGTTCGTAATGTTCATTGGTGGCCAAACGCAAGGATCCACTCAACCATGAGCAATCAAAGCCACATACACTGTTCACCTTACGTTGTGGAGCTGTTTCTAAAAACAATAGGGGGAGAGGGGGAGTTGCCCAGATAGACAGCATTTGTGGATTTGATATAACCTGAAGGGTGAATATGGGTTTCGTCAAGGAACCAAATGTCATAGGGGAAATGTTCACGCCTTTCAAGACGATCGAGGAATCATGAACACATTGCTATCCTCTGATAGCTTCCAAACGAGAAAATGGTACAGTAGTAGATAAAGATCAGCCTTGAGAAAGCGAACAGTTGAGATGTAGAAAAGTTATTGCTGCAGACATTGTCTACTGACAGACATCTCATGGGGCTCATGTACTGAATTCTGCCCCCTGGTTACGTTTAAAGGGGTGCGAACGGTGTGTGTTTGACCTGAAATGGTCGTTTTGTCTGGGATTTTTTGTTCTGATTCTCTACAGGTACTAATTGATCGACCATTTCCACCCTTGACACCAAAGAAGGCCTTACGGGCACTTTAACATTATATTCGTACCTTGTGCAAAACTTATGAAAAGAGTTGGTGGTGAGGAAATGTTCAATACAAAAGTTCTTTGCTCTTTACTTATCTTAACCATGTCCTCAGCAGGCAAAAGAAACTTGAGAAAAACTATCTGCAAACTTCTGTTGGCCTGTTTGACCACTGTAGTGTGCAATATAGCTCTATTGTTGCGATTTTTACTGGTAGGCCTAAGGCAAACTAGTGCGTCATGCTACAAAATTGGGGTTGTTTTTTTACGCGCTGTGTACAGCAAAGCTATAATGTGGATTTTTCTAAAATGAATATCAGACAAATTCCTTTTGACTTCCAAATGTTGTGTTCAAATTTGAAGCGCAAAACTTCAGTGTGGAGTGAAATATAACAAAAGAAGCTGTACAGTTCTTTTTTGGATCACCCTGTACATGCATATTATATTATTTATTCGTATCATGAACAGGGATGGGAAGTTTTTTGTGTTGCTTTTTCAGCCATGAATGTTAATTTTGTGTTCCCTAAAAATCAAATGAAACAAATGTAAAGACAAGAACATTGTATTGTTGAATAAAAGTATAATTTATTCAAGTCATGTTTTCTCTAGATCTCGAGAAGGAAAGGCACTTTTTGCAATATTTTGGAATAAATGTTATGGGGAGCCTATTGACATGGTCTTAAAACTACTACGGTTTTAATTTTTACCTCAATTCAACGCTAAGATGTTACGGGAAAAGACTCAATTTGATGCTGTATAGAACTTCACATTTTGAGCGACTTCTCATATTTCAAATTTTCAGAACAAATGAGATGTGTACCCTGGACCTTCTGGTTATACGGTTTCAACTTTAGCGAGAACAATACTTCTTTTGCCTCTCGTAATCGTTTAAATTTCTTTTGATTTAGGTTTTGATTCATTAGATTTAGAGGCAGAACCACTGGCCTCATCAGAGTCGCCAGAGCTGGAGCTGCTAGAGCCAGAATCGTTGGC